TGTCCCTCTGTTACAGCTGCTTCCTTTGGCATGCATACCTTTCACTGTCTTTTACAAAAAATAATCAGTCACTATAAAAACCTCCAACAGCATCTCATCTCTCTTTTTAAAATCTCAATCCTTCCCTATGGGGAGGAGAGGTGAGTCCCTCCCTAAAGCATCTGTAACCAGAGCAGGGGCAGGGCAGGGTGGGGAGGGCTGGATGCACAGCTTGTTTCTACCAGCTGACCTTGTGCGACTCAGCTGACTGGGCAAGGAATGTCCTTCCTTATTCACCCCCAAGTTCCCAGTACCCCTCAGATGCCAGGGACCCCCACTCCAGCATTCTTAGTCATCCAGTGATGAGGAAGCAGATTGAATTCAGGAAATTGAATTTCTTGAATTTCAAGTGCTACTCAGGACCTCCCAGGGGCCTTTGAGTGGAGCCTCAAAACCAGCTACAAGGAAGGGGGACAGGAGATCTAGACAAAAAGAAGCAGAGTACAGGAAGCCAGGCCTCCTGAGCCTCTAAACAATGCTCCCACTCGGCCCCAAGCACCCACAGGCTGAGAAAGAGGAGCAGAGTAGAGACAGAGAGGCCTGACGGCAGGACTGGAAGGAAGGGGTGTCCAGGAAGGTGCCTGAAGTAACTGCAAACCCAAACAGACCCCATCTCCCCTCTGCCGAGGAAAGTGATACCAGGACTGGAGCTGACCTACCTCAGGAATCCAGATCTGGAGATTGGAGCACTCAACAAAACACAGGGTCACCTCCCACACTCACACTTCAAGTCCCTGTTTAGGAGCACATTATGGAAATACTAAAATCTCCCACCAGAGCTGAGGAAGGAGAACTCCAGAATATGGTTCAGCAGCGCATGAACACCGTGATTCTGACCCCCACTCACCCATATACACCTCTTGATGCCCTAGAGCCCAGGACAAGATGCCCATTAGAGGGCAGCTGGGAAGTGTGGGAGGAGGGCAGGATTTACCCCCAAGCTGGGGGACCAGCTCTCTGCAGCACACACACAAGCTGGGGACCAGCTCTCCGGAGCATGGAGGCTGAAGCACGGAGACTGGGGAAAGGAATCCCAGGCACGGAGCCACCAAAGGCATGGAGGTGAGTGGGGGAGGACTGACGGACTCTGGAGAAGACTGGACCAGGCTCACAGTCCAGAATAAAGCAGCAGGAATGGTAGGGTGGTGGATGGTGCGAGCCAGAGAAAGCTGGAGTGGGGACAGCCTCTCCCCTCACCCCCATTCCTCTCTTCCTAAGGGGCATCTGAAGAGAGCTGAAGTTGGTGGCACCCCTCCCTGAATATCCTCTCCTTTTGCTGCTCACTCCTTCCCCTGTGAGCAGAGCCCTGGACCTGCATGCAACCAGGGACCTCCTTAGGGCAGAACTTTACAGGAAGGTAGACTCCAGCCAGGACACAGCAGCTGGTGCTGCCTGGCCCAGCTTATCTGAAAAGCACAGGTCTATTAATTTCTCGCAACTGACAGCAGGGATTGAACTGGGCCGTGGGCTGTGGTAGCACCCAGGAAGTACTAGACCAGCACCTAAGAATCTGTCCACAGTGGAGCCAAGGCAGGTTCAGAGCCACAGAGAAAGCAGTCTGGGCCACTGCCCTACGCCCAGCCACTAGGGCTTGTGGGGTGGGCACGGATGTGAGTAGGTGCCCCCACCCCCTACACACACACACACACTTGCTTTATAAAAGAGGGAGGGGAAGGAAAGGCAAGGTGGAGGATGGACTCATGGTCCCTGGATCTTAGACTGGGGGTGGTGGTGTGGGCAGTAGACATTGGACACTGGCCCTCGGCTCCACTGCCAAGTGAGGAATCCCAGATCCTAGTGAATTCACACCAGATGGGCTCAGGGCCCCTCCAGTTCAGCCTCCCTCTTAGCCCAGGTGGGCAAAGGCCTAGAGACAGCCTTCACCTGTGGCAAAGATGCCCACAAACACTCAGTAAGGCCAACATCTTTTTACATACCCAGCATAGGCAGCACCCCGCCTTCCTCACCCAGGACCAGAGGGAGGTAGCCAGGCATGGTTTGGGTGAGAATCAACCAGTTCAAAATGAGGAGCCTCCTGGAGTCACTTAAGCAATGTATCTCCAGAGAGAGTGAGGCTGAAAACAGGCTTGGGTTCAAGCGCCTGGGTTTAAGGGTTTTCCAGGCTCCGGATTCGGCCAGGACCTGTGCTTTGTGAGGAGACTCTGCCTCCCAGCCCCCCTCCTCCACACACAAACACCTCACCCAACTCTCCCAGTAAAAGCCGGATTCCATCTCTCAATCCCTGTGGAGAAGAGGGAGCTGTGGCTTCCATGGGATCTAATCACCAAACCACCCAGAGAAGGGGGGGGGGCAGGCGGGGTGGAGAATAAGGGCAAGGGATAAAGAGGAGACCTGGATGCCCCAAAGGCAAGCCCGGACTAGCCTGCAGCCTTCTCTGGCGCTCCCCTCCCTGCAACCTAATGGAGAGGCAGCCCCAGCTTCCCAGATCCTGATCCAAGGGACTCCCCGGGGGTGCTGAGTGTGCTAACCCCAAGCCCATCCAGGGACCCCAGAAGAGGATGCCAGAAGGGAGCCCTGCATTGCTGGCGGGTAAAAATGTCCTTTGTGAAATGAAAATTCAAACGATCCTGGGCAGGGCCCACCAGGTACATTTTTCTTTGAACAGCAACCAGGGGCTCCCATGCGGCAGCTAGGGCTTGACTCCGGAAGGCTTGAGCTGGTGGTCTCATTCCTAAGAAATTTTCTATACTAAAAGTGTCTCACTTGAATAATAAAAATAATTGAACTTGGGAGAGCTAGAGAAGAAAAAAGACTCAAGTGTGGAGCGGAGATGAAGTACGGATTCAGGCTGGGTGCCTTACTGGGCTGCGTGGAGAGCCCTGGCCCATTCCGGGTCACTTAGGCATCGGCCAGCCCCTCCGTGCGTGGCCAGACTCAGAGGGTCCAAGTGCAAGTCAAGCAGCAAACAGGCGACTATGTTCCTTCCACCCCGCAACACACTCCTCCAGGCTGTGCCTATTCTATCCACCTAAACCTCATTTCTCCCAGCGCTCCAGTCCTGTCCACCCTGCAGTGGGTCCACACTTGGCACAGTCCCCACCTCCCAGTCTGCAGCCCCATCTTTCCTCCCTCCCTTTGCCTCTTTCCCAACTTTGCAGTATGGACCAGCAGGCCTCCCCTCTGTTCCCTTTACTTTCTGGGATGCTAAACTCTGCACAGAGGTGCTGAAAGCCACCAGTTAAGAAATCGGTGAGTCCCTGTCCACCTCGACTTCTGCGGGGGTACTGGGTACTTTTGAGACAGGAAACACACTCGCATTCGGCTGCTCAAGTGCACACCTGGATCCCACAGCAAGGACTTGCACATACAGCTTCCCCTCCCAGGGCAGATACGGAGGCCACGCCAGCAGTAAGACCACAGGCAGAGGCCTGACACCACAACAAAATCTCATTCAGACCCCCACCACCACCATGGACAGACCCCGTGGGGCACCCTAGCATGCCAGCACTTGTGAGGGAAATCAGTCACGGGCCTCCAGCGCTTTGCTGGGGTCTCCCAATCTTCCTTCCAAGACCCTTCATGAGTCAAAGAAAAGGGAACAGGGTCCTCTGGTGAATCAGCACTGTCAGAGTAACTACACTAGGGTGAGCACTGGGCTCCTTAAAAAATGCTACAGGGGCCCTCCTTGGTGGCGAAATGGGTTAAAGTGCAGCACTGTGAAGCTAGCTGAGCCCCCTCAGTGCAACTTTGAGTTCAATCCGGTCTGGGAGGTGAACACACTTGGCGTGGCAGACCTCTCCTGACCCACCCTCTGCTCCCCTCAGCACTGTTATTTCCTCAGTCAGCCCGTTCTGCTCCCTGCTCTGTCTAGTGAATCCTCCCAGGGCCTCTGCACCTCTGGCCTGTACTCCAGTTCTGTGTGCATAAATAAATAAATCTTTTAAAAATTATTTTGAAAAAAAAAAAAAAAAGCGCTATGTAGCCAGAATCCTCCCAGATTAAGTGCAATGCCCAGAGGGCCCTCCCCCCAAACTCCCCACACCTCATTCACCTCTGGGCCCCCTTAGTGCACAGCTCCACTAGTCAGTGCTTCACCTCTCTGCACAGCCCACTGAAAGCTAACCGCCCCAGAGACAGAGGGACTGCTCGGCAGAGAGTAGAGATGGCAAAAGGAAATGCCCACTTCTATTCCTGAGTGGGTGTGTGGTCCTGTGGGAAGGCCTCAGAGGCACAGGGGAAGCGGCTGGCTGGCCGGCCGTTTGCTGCCCACCCCAGTCTTGGCCTCACTGACTCTGGGTTCCTGTACAGGCTGCCTAGGAACGTTTTCTCTCCCCTGGCAAATGCAGGACAATCCTCCTCCAGGCCTCACTCTCTTGGCACATTTTCCACAATATTGGCCTTGCTCACCCAGGAGCGCTCGGAAGAGTCTTCACTGTGTGGATGAGTGTGGGTGTAGATAGGAGTAAAGTTGGGGTGAAGGTGGAGCACTGATTCCCCACCTGGGCAACGCCTCCGGGCCCCCCCAGCGCGCGCTGGGCCAACCTCCGGTTCTCCGCTCCAGCGCTGCGGCGGTGGCGGTCGCCTTCCTGCATCCTTCGGTGATCGGTCCAGCTGAAATGCCGGCGGTCCAGGCTGAGCTTCCCGGGAAACCAGACAGTATCCGGGAGTGTTGCGAGCTGGACGTTGCGGGAGGGAGCTGCTAACTGGCAGAGTCTGTTGGGCGCTCTTGTACCCAACCTCACTGCATCTGGCTTGGAGGGGAGTCGGCCTAGGGGTGGAGTGGGGGCCCAATCCCGCGACCACAGGGCCCTACGACCTCGTGCGCCCCCAGGAGTAGAAAACCCGGGTTCTCCGCCCAATCGGCAAGCAGAGGTGGAGCAGCCGGCAGGGGCGGGCCGGAGGCGGAGCCGGGTAGGGGCTGGGGGTGGAGGGGCGGGAAGCCCCGAGCTTGGCCAGCTCGGGAGGGTCAGGCGGTGGCTTAGGCGACCGTGGCGGCCGGCATGGGCGATGGGGGCGCCGAGCGCGTCGGCGGCCCCCCGCGCCCGGCTGAGGACTCGAGGGCTGAAGCCCCGGGCCGAAGCCCTAGGGAAGTTGCTGGGACCTCGGCCTCCTGCCCTGCGAGCTCAGGGGCGGGCAGCGCCGGCTGCGACGGGCAGTCCCGGCTCAGAGAGACTGACCACTGCCGCCGCATCCTGGTTCGAGGTAAGAGGACAGCTCCCACTTTAGCCCGCAGCACCCCCAACCGACCCCGACTTTGTCCCCGACTTTCCTGCGGCCGCCGCCTCCCAACTCACACTTTCATTTAGTTAGTCGCGATTCAGGCGTTCGTTCAGCAAATGCTATTTTGCGGGTCCATTGTGTGCTGGACGTTGAGCTGAGTACGGGGGACAAAGCGGCGACCGCGACCGAACACGTCGGCATTTTACGGCTTCTCAGATCGGCCCTGCGCTCTGGGCTCGTCCCAGCCGCTCACGGTGGCTGGGCTGCGGTAGTAGGGACGCTGGGTGCGGACAGCCGGGTCCCCGCCCTGCCTCTCTTCGCGGGTGCGGACAAAAGCGTCGGAGCGTTCGCGAGGTCGGGGCCTGGAGGGACCCGCGCCCCGCGCTGCGGAAGGAAAAGGCCAGACTCCAGCAGGCGGCCTTGGTCCCTCCTCGCCTCCCGCTCAGCCCGGTTTCCACCCCCGGCCACGAGACCGCACCAGCCGGACATCCCAGCTCTAGGGTGCCGGCCGACCCCCCCCCACGCCCCCCAGCCCGCGCTTCGCGACACTTTCGGTTCCCTTTTGCCGCGGCCCCCAGGGCCTCTAGTTCCGCGCGGCCTTCTAGCCTGGCCCTTCACGTCGCTCGGTCCTCCGCTCCCTCCTCTTGCTGCCTGGCTGTTCCTCCCCGCCGAGCTCCCCAGCGCAGCGCTCTCTTGCGAGCGCGTCGGGTCTGCGCCGCGTGCCCAGCTCCGCCTGGTACCTGCCGCTCGAGTTGAGGCTCCCTGGACCCCAACGCCAGGGTTGAGCGCAGCGCTGGGCTCGACTTTCCTAAGGTCCCGGCTTTGCCTAGAGAGGTGGGGGGAGAAAGGGGATTGCGGGCTCTTGTTCCCAGCTTCCTAGGCCCGAGTTCTGTTTCCCACACCGTGCCGAAGCCCGGAGACCCGAGACCCGCTCGCAGAAGGCGCCACTCCGGGGTAAGGATTCGCTGGCCTCCCAACTGACTTCCCGGGTTTCCTCGCGCTGGCTTTTTCCTGCTGATGCTTTCCGAGCGCCGGTCCCGGGAGCCCAAGGACCTCAGGAATCGACCGACCAGAACTAATTTCCTCGGCCTTCGACTGGCCAAGGGGAGCCAGCCTGACGCCGGTTTGCGGTCTCTCCAGCGTGAGGATGCCCACTTTGTCCCACACACGGACTTGGGATACCCAGGCCTGGTCTGCACGGCCTCCCCGCAGCCGCTAGGTGTGGGTGGCCTCTGGGGGTTGGCGAAGGGGCTTGGGTAGAACATGGAGGCAGCCCAAGGGGGAGGCTACTGGTGACCGGCTGGCACACACTTGCAGGTATCTTGGTGTTTGGGAAATACTCGTGCCAGGTGTGGTCATCCAAAATGGGGCACCCACCAATGTTCTGAGGGTAGGTTTGCGTCCAGGCAGTTACAAAACAAGGCGTGTGGATGTTCTGGCCAGCAGGTACTCAAGTAGGTGTGTAGACCTATTGGGCAATTCCCAGGTGTCCTGGGTGTGAGGGGCTAGTGAACAGATTTTCTTAAGAAAGAAAATTTACAGAAAAGAGCTTTACAGAAATGGGAAAATCTGCCCTTCAAACCACATTCCCAGATTAAGCACCTAATCCCTGCCTGTGACCACATTCCTTCTCCACCTCACATCCCTTCTGTAACTGGGCATTTCCTTCTCTCTGGACACTTGTGACTTCTGTGCCCACCTAGTGACCTCTCCATGCTACTAACTCTGCATGTAGGAAAAATTTTGAATGATTAAAATAAATTTATTAATTAATAGCTAAATAACTCTCAAACATCTACTCATAGAATCTATGAGTGAAATTAACCAGTCATCTATCCTGTAGGGCAGGACCACCTATGCTGGTAGCAATACATAGCCAGGTAGAGATGGACCCCCAGCCGTGAGCAAGGCAGTATGCATTCATTGTTAGAAGGTGTGTTTTTATAAACGCACTTACAGACTGCACACACGTACAGGCAATGCTATTGCATTTGATGATGTAATTAGAAATATTAACTATAAAGCATGGAGAATATAGCTATGCACCTAAAGGAAATGAAAAGTAGACAGAACCATCATATCCCATGTATCGACATGGAGGCTTTGACAGTCCTGAGATACCCAGGGTTGGCACTACCACTAATTCCTCCTAGCTAGAGACACCTGCATTGCTCCTTTCTGGCCCCACTGACCAGTGAAAGGCCCCATGCTGGTGAAGGGCAGTCTGCAGCACCTTGGCCTCAGGATGACTATCCCTCCAGCATGCCATAAGTGGAAAGCTAATTTTGCCATTGACTCCTGAGGACACATTCTCACAAAGTACTTTTGGAAAAGACATTTGCCATCATAGCAGTTAAATTGCAGGTGAGATGAGGTTCATTCTGGGAAAGAACCTGCTAACTCTGGGTCATTTCCTTCTTCCTGCCCCTTTTCCTCTCTGCACTTGCCTCCTAAGGTCCACACCCCAGATAGCATTCTGTTGGGAGATATCAGATGCACAGGGGAGTAGGAGAAAGTTTAAAGCTTCATTTAAGAGAAATTGGTCTGGAATATCAGCTTACAGACCTTTGAACTTGAATCAGTTTCTTTCTAATTGTGCCTCAATTTCCTCATCTTACCTTGAAGGATGCACTAAGGGCCAGAGCTGATGTCTCTAAAACTACAAACACCCAGAAGGATTTCCATAAAATTTCCATCAAGTGACAGGGAGAGGACCCACAAGCCACTTCTGGGTGGGTGGCATTGGGGCCTTCTTTCACAGAGACCACCTCAGTTCACCCCCTAGTGGGGTAACTTGTCTCCCTTCTGCCCTGAGTCCAAAGGCTGAGCATGTTGTGGGAGGTGGTCAGTCAAGGGGGTCAAGAACCAGCAGACTACCAGGTGAAGCCTTCTCCACCCCCCTGAGGAACCCTTCTTCTGCTAACCACCTAAGCTTCCTGTCTCTATGGCATGCCAGGCAGGGAGCCAGGGAGGCTGACCTTGCTGCATCCTCTGCCTCAAAATGGAGGCTGCTTCTTGTCACGGGGCACAAACATGGTGACGCAGATGACAGGCATGCACACACAACAGGCACCCTGCAAACCCCACTGAGGACATAGTTAGGCCTCTACTGGGACCTTACTACTGCCCCGACACCCTTAGTGCAAGGCCCAGTAGCTGGTGGAGATGGGCATCCTTTTGGTTTGTATTTAGAAAGAATGTGCCAAAGGCTGGCAGATGACAGCAGGAACAGGCCAGCCTTGGCTGTAGCCCCAAGGTGCTGCTGAGGTGCAGTGACTTTCTCTGGTGCCAAGATCCCCACATTTGGAAGAAATCGGACAACTCTTACCCTAAGCCCTCATGATCTATGCTTGCATCTGTATGCTAAGACCCGCTTGATTCCCAAGTAAATGGGAATTAAATTCAACCAGTCGTCAGGATAGAGTCAAGAATGGTCCTCTGCCAGCATTACCCAGTCCAGTAGCTTTTTGGATAATGGATGGCATCAGCCCCTTCTCACTGAGAATGACCCCTGAAAACCCTATTCACACCTCTGGGCTTTGGGTCCCTTGAGGTAGGGCCGCAGAGGCTGTTCTGAGAGCGCTTCCTGTGTAGTGATACCAGCCACTCTCCCTCCCAGGCTCTACATCTCTGGGCCTGAAGCAAAAGGGCCGGTATTGGCAAGGTGCTTGGCAAAACAAATGGCTGCCCACCCACCCACTAGCAGAAATTGTAAAATGCTTCTGTTCTGCTGATGATGCTCCGGGTGGCTGGGGACCCTAGAGGCCACATGGAGGCTGTTCATTTTTGCCCGGAGGACCCACATTCGCATTGCAGGTTATGCAATGCCTATTGTTTTACACCTCCTCCCCTCTGCACTTCCCTAGGAAGCTAACCAGCTACCCAGTGTGTCATCTTTTTGTACATTGCTTTCATTTTCTGAGAACAGTGGGACATTGGCGGTTCCATGCATGTTCACGAGATTTCTGTGGCAGGGAGAGGGTGCTCGTGTACCCTTCCTGCGGCATATGCACACAACTGCAGTCTGGAGCTTTCAGATACCCACCAGCTCCTGTGGCTGACTGGTGGGGCTGGGAAGGTGAGTGCTTCCGAGGCTGCAACAGTGAGCAGGGGACATCACTGTTTTTTGTTCCCGGGCTTGGGGCTTGTGTATCAAAAGATGTCAGGCATCTGTAGATCCTGTTGGCTCCAACCGTTTCCTCTGTGACCTGCATCTCCAGTCTGGGGTGGTATTTTCCATGTTTGCTGTATTTCTTTCATATCTATTTTAATGGTGGGGGAGAGGGGTATGATACACATGAATTTAGCCTTCTTTTTCATGTTTGACTAATACAAAGATTGGGGTGACTCTCCTTGGAGAGTGGGTAGAGGTTATTGGCAGGGCACCCCTCCTGGTTCTGTAACCCTGTGTGAGACACTAATAAGGGGACATTCATCCAAGTGGGTCTGCCAGAAATCTCCTGTGAGGGTGCTCCAGGCACAGTGCTCCCTCCCACTGCCGCATTAAAACATGAGAAAAATGAGAGAGCAGCTCCGTTTTGTGTTTGTTTCCTTGGTGTTTGGGAGGGAGGTGGGGGGAGGTTCAGCGAGACTGCCCGGTGGCTGCTGATACTAGGTAAGGAGGAGACAGCTCCAGAGCCAGACAGCTGGGTTGTAACGCAGAGGAAGGGGCAGAAGAGAAACACTTTTCCTCTAGAACCTTCTCTCCCTGTTCCCCCAGGGCCTTGACCTTCACTTGCTGGTTAATTCATTTTGCAAACACGATGCGCACCTACTTTGTGCCAGGACCATCAGGTTGGGACGATCAGGTTGGGGTTTCTGGCACTCGGCTTCCCGGTCCAGAGACACTCTCCTGCTTGGCGAACGGCAGGGTTCCTCGCCAGCCCTGCAGCGCAGTCTGGGGTGGCGGGGAGCGTGGGTCTGCTGGTATCTAGACCTCACCCCGACGCCGGACCTCCAGGGCGGTTGTCACCTCCTTCGCT